GAGCGAATTGAAGTCTTCGCAAAGTCTTTTCGGATTAATTTCATTTTCAGCCAGGTCTCTCTCATACAGCTGAAATCGCAAATCATGATTTTGCTCAAAAAACGGCTGAAGATACGAACGTTGTTACATAATACAAAGTTAACTCTATTTCCCAGTAAATGCATGTACGTGTATATAAACAGTTCCTCTTTGCAATTATATGTACTTTTGATTGGTTTTGAAATGGCTGAGCAAGAACTGTGTGACATCATCTACATTATTTTGATACTGAACTGAGTTGATGTTTCCGATTGAAGTATGAGGCTTATACCACTTTACATCTAAAGTTCATATTCACAGGTGTGCCGTAATGGGCGACTTCACTTGTTTGCACACAGAAAGCTTTTTAACCACGCGCGTCCTCGTTACGTGGCCATCGGAAGTAGCGAACACGGGGAACGAGCAGGCGTTTGATACTGCTGCGCTGTGCCCCTCATCCGAGGTGACCACAGCGTCGGAAAATGACTTCACTGGTTGCTGCCGGTGTTGCTCACATAAAACGTAGCTTACACTTTCAAAAAAAAGGGGGGTGGATGACAGATGAAGCATGTTGCTTGGTCGATGAGATCCAGCGTTCCACACGGCTGTGTATAATCGGGGTAACTTCAAACGATATCCATTCACACGTGCACTTCTGCGGATTCGCCGCCCTCGGTGTAGCCATCCGTGAAGCTGAAGATTCTGCCTACGTAAACGCACGCCTCCCGAATGATAAGCCTCACTTGCCTCACTACTCCTGAGCTATTTTCGTTGTGTGTGTGAAGCCTTGTAGAAATTGTTTCCATGCATTGTGTTTGCAGTCTCAAACTAACATACGAGTATGCTTTCAGCAGTCAAACAGAGTGTGTATAATACTTAGGCGAGGGCACGCGGTACTGTACTTGCTTGTGGCACTATGCTACAAGCCGGAATGTCGCGGGTTCGATTCCCAGTGAGGATATGGATTTTTCAGTTGACCCAATCCTTCCAGCCGCACTGTGGCCCTGTGGTCGACTCAGCCTCTTAACACAAATGAGTACCAGGATTTTTTTTGGGGGGGGGGTAAAGGGCGTCCGGCGCATGAAGCTGACAACCTCGCCGCCATCTGTGAGGCGATTTTCTAGAAAATGTGGAAGCTTTGACGTCACACAACCCAATGCGTCTCCATGGTCTTTTGGCTCTACTTTTTTTGAAATAATCAGGCAGGTTCGCTCAGGGCGGTGACGGAAGAAATCTCAAAATATAAGTTAGATTTAGCGGAGGTACAGGAAGTCAGATGGGACTGAGCTGGCACGGAACCTGCAGGCGAATATACATTTTTCTATGGAAAAGCGAATGAGGATCATGAATTAGGTACAGGTTTTCTCGTACACAAGAGAATCGTATCAGCAGTTCAGAGGGTAGAGTTCGTCAGTGATAGGATGTCATACGTAATACTAAAAGGTCGCTGGTGTGATATCATCGTTCAGAATGTTCGTGCACCACCGAAAGATAAGATTGAAGCTATAATGGACAGGTTCCACGAAGAACTGGAACAGGTATTTGATAAACTCCCAAAGTACCATATGAAAATATTGTTAGGAAATTCCAATTGGAACGTAGGTAGGGAAGACATTTTGAAACCAACAGTTGGGAATGAGAATTTACACGAAATTAGTAATGATAATGGAATTGGAGTAGTAAACTTTGCCATATCTAAAAAGCTTACTGTCAGAAGTACAATGTTCCCACATCGTAACATCCATAAATTTACTTGGACATCTCCTGATGGGGAGATACACAATCAAAGTGACCATATTTTGATAGACAGGAGACGGCACTCAAGTCTACTTGGTGTCCGAGCATTCAGGGCAGCACCACCGATATGATTCACTCAGCTAGTACAGCTTTGGTGTTAAGCGATTAGTACTTGCTCGCATGTGGAACGTCAGCTGGCATACTCTTCGGTCACCTGTCTAAAGCATTTCCTCAATAACTTACGAGGGTGAGTCCGTAAATAGGTCACAAATGAATATAAAACGCGAAACATGTGCTATTTGAACATGGAAAAACCTTTCTCGACATATCCTCCACCAACATTGATACGCTTGTCCCATTGCTTTACCAGTGCGTCGAGCCCCGCAGGATAGAAATCATTTGACTTTTGTCTCAGCCACTTTCGCACTTCCGTTTTAACCTCTTCGCCATCAGCTAAACGTTTGCCACCCAGTTGTAAAGCGCTTTACGTGACAAAAGTCCCCACCGTAAACAGGAAACATTTCTTTACGAATGTCCTTTGCATTGAGTCCTTTTGCCCCCCCACCAAAACTCGCACAACTCTGCTCTACGTCAGACCACCCCTCAAGTACGGTCGCCATTTTTACTACTGAAACCGGAATCTGAACACGCAAACGCGGTACTTGCTTTAGCTACGTTTTAGAATCTGTTCTTTGTAAAGTCTATAACCCGAAGTTTTATGATCTGTTGCGTTGTAATGTCATGTATATCGGCAGCAGTTCAGCGACGTTTCGGAAGAACATGAACACAGTCAGTGGTCTACTTGCAACTTGTTTGCTGCTTTCTTGCGTGGCGTACTCTTCTTCCGTGAAGAGGAAGATGATATAAGGCAAATTTTTACCAGACTCTACTGCATTAGCATGAAGGACCTGCGCTTCATAGCCGCTGGTGTGAAAGCATCAGGCATAATATACACCTGCTTATGCTCTGAATTTATTAAACGTAATCAGCTTCTGGATCCAGAATATCGGCGAAATGTGCAGCCCTTAATTTCCCTGTTTCATAGGCCCGCTTCGATTGGGGATCAGGGCTCCAGGTGTCACAAGGACACGCAGGACAACAAAGGACATGTACGTGTTGGTGATCCCAGTGTCGCGTGGAGAGCCTGCCTGCTACTCCGCAACTTGACGTTTACTGCAGGAGTAATTGTATTAGAAAGAAGCGCGAGGCAGTTAATTTAGTCTCTTCAATACGACTTGTTCCATAATTGATTTTTGTTTTCGGAAATGACGTCAGCAATGCTGTAGGGTTTAGGATAAGGCCAGTCGCTTGTGCTTCGTACCATTCACAGCATCTAGCGTCGTGCGCGTTCGGAGGTTATTTTGCATTTAGTTAGCGTAAATAAGTTGAATATTGGATGGCAAATTTTCAAACACAGTGTTCGCCCAAAATACCTGATCTCTCTCTCCTTCTTGTGTTCAGCTGGCGACAGATCATCGCAATGATGATTCTGCGACCGCTAAACAACGCGGATACGTGACAACTTCAGTTACATCAGGCGGTTGTTGCATGACGTCCCCTGCAGATGCAAAATCGCGCTGGCAAATGGATGGATGGGATTTAGTTCTGACGGACACGACAACGAAAGGAAGGCAAATTTTGTGAGACGCATGCCCCTTCTGCATTGTCTGCACACTCACACCACGTCATGTTGTGTCCACACACTTTCCCTGGAATGCGATCTCGAACACTTGCAGTTTACCTACTTCTCATGTGTCGAGAATGGCCCTCTCTCTCAGTACATCGGGTCAAATGGGGGAGAGGGGTGTATAGATCCACATATTTTTGACCTCGGCACTAGTTGCAGGTCAGTGGTCAGCTTCACACCCTGGCCGATTTACTCCCGGCGAAACAGTCCCCCGTACCCTTTAGATAGAAGCGTGGGTGAACCCCAGAATCGGTCTGGACGACATGGAGAGGAGAGAAACGTTGCCGGTGCCGGGACTCGAAATCCGACCCAGTAGCCAGTCTCTATGCCGACTCCGCCATCCCGGCTCGCAATGCAAAGTACCTCAAACTGGGCCACGACCCGCTTAAATTCGTCTCTTGCCGCAGTGCGAGGTGCTGAGGGCTTAACTACACAGCATTGAATGAAATGTAAAATCATGACGGAGCCTTAAACGGGAAAGTTATCTGGGTGCTTTGCTGTTCTGTTTATTTGCGTGTCTAGGTTTAGTCTGCGCTCTGTATCTCGGACAGCAGGTACCGTCGTATGTTGGAATCATAGTTTCTGGTTATGCCGTTATTGAAGTTTCTTGTATAACGACATACGTATTATTGAAGATGGTGACAAATAGACGAATTTGTCGAGAGATACGAGAAACAGAAGTGCACTTAGTTTTGGGAATGATCATTTCATGATTTTTCGTGGTCTTTGTGTATCGCTGATATGCAACAGTAGTCCACAGTGCAGATGCGACATACACACCCAAACACAAGGTATACCCAGTACAAAAGCAGGGCGACATAACCTAGAAGATAAGGGAGAACAAGCTGGACACTAATAATAGCACATCGTGAATAGATTCTATAACAGCCGATCTCAGTGGTCGCGCCTTCTAAGGCATGAACTGTCTTCGAACGCTGGGATCGTGGGTTCGAATCCCACTCGAGGCATTGATGTCTGCGTGAGTTGATTCTAGGTTTGTATTGTTATGTGTGTAGGTGGTAGCGGCCTTGCGACGGGCTGATCCCCGTCCAAGGAGTCCTACCGAATGTGTGTAGGATTAAGAAACTGACAGAAAGGGACCAAGGTCCAGCAAAAGGGCTGTAGAGCCATAGAGAGAGAGAGAGTGACAGCGAGCCCCGGGCAAAGGGAAACCTACACTGCCGGACAAGAACAACATAGATTTCTATATTCAGTGACAAGATAATTTTAAATTAAAATTAGAAAAATTCTTGCAACTTTGTGACGGTTGCATGTATGACATGATCGTAATGCCTAACACTGATATGGATCCATGTCAGGACAGTTTAATAACAAGAGATGAATTTGATGAGACTGCCTGAAGATGGTCCCAAATGTGGACCGAAACACATTGCAACCATCAGATATAACCAAAGCGACCAGGTCGATTGGTTTATCTTTATTTTGTTGTGTTGACGGCCAAATCCCACCAATCGTGATCGGCTATCAGCTTCTTGTTAACGTCGGTAGACTGATTGCCCTAGCGTTTACTGTGGCCATGTTTGTTTGTTTGTTCCAGCTGCTGCAGCTGGTGGTGGGTGGGGACTTGCCGTGCAGCAAAGAGGAGGCTGCCTCCCTGGCAGGCATCCAACTCCGTATTGAGGAGTCATGGGGCCGACCGCTCCCCGGAGGAACATCTTCCACCACGCAACACCCCCCGGTTCCCGTCTCGCCTGACGATCCATCTACCCTGCGGCCCATCTCGGAGGACAAGGTAAGCCGCAGAGACATTCAACAGAAGCCGATAATCACGCAGTTTCTGCAGTTTATGCAACCCACTGTCTTCTTTGCCCTATTCACGCCATGAGTCTGGTCCTCTCGTCTGTCCCACGCACGCTCAGTTGGCACAACAAACAGGCTACGAGCTGCATAGTCGAGGACTCGGTTAATTGCATCCAGATTTGCCATGAGACCTGACTGCTGGTTCCTCTCTAGTGCCGAGGGTAATGCTATTGCTATACTTGTGCTCCTTCCTACGCCTTCTCGACTTGATGCTTAATTAATTATGTGTCCATTCATGCTACATTCACTGTCACAGCTAACTCCTCCATTTGATCATTCGTGAAATATTTGTGGAGGAAAGAAATTGCACCTCACAATTATGTGGTTTCCTTCGTCTTATAACTTATATTTTGAGATTTCTTCTGCCACTGCCCTGAGCGAACCTGCCCTATACAAACTTGGTACATTCCAAGTGCCAAATCTCATATCCATTTTCATTAGTTCAGGTCGTTTATTCAAGGAATCCGTCCAGGTCCGAGGCTTTGTGTTCATTTTAGTAACGAGATTATTTTTTATGGTGAAGAGTTGTTAGCCGTAGGCCCAACCTCAAACCTGGAGGACCACCCTTTGTTGGCTGTCCGCGACTGCTTATTCAGTATATTCGCAGCTTCCCTCCATAGCTGGAGGGCGTCTCCTCCATCCGCAACCTGAGGACGCGCCATGCCGTGGTGACAAGTAACACCGCTCTTTTCCAACCCGCCTTTGCTTGTATCAGCGCAGTCGGAACGGTGCTATCCCTGCTACACCTGTTTCTACCTTAGGACAGTGTATGATGGCTACTGGAAGTTGTCCTCACAGATCAAACTAAGGAAGATCGGTATAGGTACGGGAAACTAGCTGGGTCGGTTCGCATGGGTCTCAGGGTAGCGATGCCGAAGAAAGCGTTTTTCTGAGAGTTGAGCCAATTGACGTTTATTCACCTGCTAATTCACCACACTGTTAAATTAATGTATTCTTAGCTTTAAGTTACAGCGTTACACTATCGGCTAGCTATGTCCCGGAGCGTGCAAGGGTCACGTCCGTTCAGTTCGGAATATTGTGAAAGTCTCTCCTTTTGTGGAATGGCTTGCACCCCCACGCCGGGAATTCGAAAGATAGTGTTGACATATACATTTTCATCCCATCTTCCGTAGGAAGCTTGAACGAGGCAACCCAATCATACTGGCCCTCATTCACAGGCAATTGTAACAAGCTCTGACCTGTCCTTTGAGGCGCGTCCGGTTCCCTGTACCCGAGCTAAATTTATGACTGATCGTAAATGTCAGAACTCCGGACTTCTTGTTTCTGCCAGAATCTAGAGAATTTCAACATAAACACCGTATTGCACGTCCCAGACAGTGAAATACGATATTATAGATCACGATACATTTCCAGTAATATCGAAACATAAAACTTTTGAAATTAAAATTACCGAGAATTAATTAGAAATAAATTTCATGGTCATCTATAATCATCAAAATAAATAAGGGCTCAGAATGATCAGCGTCACAAGAGATCCACCAAACACGGGTTTGTACGTCTGAGCTTCAGATATTCTCAAAAGCTCATAATGGTTTCCTCAGGATGAGAGATCGCCTTTCTTACACATGCAGTAAAGAACTTACTCTTTAAGTAAAGCTGTAGATTTGTATGAGCTAACTCCTATGTCGCATAGAAGTCGCTAAGGTTAATCTGTTGGAATTAGAATCAAAGTTAGTTTTATCCGAAATGTTATGGTACACTTCTAGTGGCCGCTAATGACGTCTCTGCAAACGGACAGGCTCAGACACATTCTCAAAGTCAAATAAATTCGGAATAAACAAGAATACGCTTTGAATGAATATGAAATGTAAGATGGTGAATCACTGTGTTTGTATATGTTGTCAGATAACAAAAGATATTGTTGGGAAATCCAGCAGTATCTCTCTTTGTAGAAGCGTTACAACACATTTGGCAACACACATCAAACATTTCAGTACACGCAGGTTATTTGTGGCCCGTTTCTAAACACACTGGAAGGTTTGAATACCCACCGGTTATCTGCAGCCATTCCCAAAACAATTTGGAAGCCTTTACTAGGCACCTGCTTTCTGCAGCGAGTTCCTCAGGCAACTGTGAAGGTTTTACTAGAAACCAGTTCCCCACACGGTTCAGAAGATATAAATACACACCGGTTTTTTGGAGTCAGCTCCTCAGAAAATTCGGGAGGTTTCACTGCGCGCAGAATATCAACAGCCTGATCCTTAGGCAGTTCGAAAAGTTTTCCTTTACTCACAGTTCATCTGCAGCCAGATATCAGACTGTTCGGAAGTGTTTAATACAAAGCGGTTGTCTGCAACCAGTTTCCCTCGAGACGCTTGTTATCCGTACCCAGTTCCACATATAGTTACTACATACTTGTAATCTGCAGGTAGTTTCTCAGACCCTTCCGAAATTTTACTACAAGTCAGTTGTCTGCAGGAATTTCCTCAGAACGTTCTGATGGTTATCTGCAACCATATTGCAAGACAATTGAAACTGTTTTCATATACATCAGTTCTCTGTGGCCAGTTCTTCAGAAAATTCGGAAGGTTTCACTGCACACAGAATACCAGCAGCCCGTTCCTCGGACAGTTCGGAGGTTTGTTTAAACAATTGTTGTCTGCAGCCAGTTGACAGATTTCTCAGAAGAATTTGCTAAACAGCGGTTGTCTGCAGCCAGTTTCTCATATATTTTGGAAGTTTTTAATAGGAGTCAATTGTCTGCAGGAATTTCCTCAGACAATTCGGAAGGTTTTACGACACACACCCACTCTCTGCAGCCTGTTCTCAAGACAATTCTGAAAGACATGAAAAGATTCTGACGATGGTGTACACTGTACTTGTTTTGGCTTATTTTGGGCTTCACCCATCGTCTGGTATGTAAAAGACAAAAGACCAGGACGTTTCGGAGACTGGATCTGTCTCCGTCCTCAGGTGGATGAGGTAGGGTAGACCTACTCAGTTGGGGCCGTTGGAAAGAGCTAGTCTCAAACAGTGGACCGATTACAGTGATTGAGACTAGCTCTTTCCAACGGGCCCACCTGAGTAGGTTTATCCTTCCCTATCCACCTGAAGACGGAGACACATCCAGTCTCCGAAACGTCGTGGTCTTTTGTCTTTTACATACCGGACGATGGGTGAAGTCCAAAATAAGCCAAAAGAAGTGCAATTCTGAAAGTTTCACTGAAGACAGAGTATCAGCAGCCATTTTGCTGCACGCCGAGTAACTGCAGTGAGATACCAAACACACCAGATGATTTTGCTATGCACAGTACCTGTATGCAGTTCCCCAAACACATCGAAATGATACACACTGTCTCCAGGCTTTGCCCAAGATGCTTCGGAGTGTGTCAGTACTCATTTCCCGGACCCATCTTATTGTTTCAATACTCACAGATTGCCTGCAGCCAGTTCCCACAAACAGTGAGGTTATTCTCTTCCTACATAACTCAGAGAGTGCTTTTTCGTCAGTTAGTGGCGTGGATCATTGATACTTTCTGTTTCTGGCATACGAGTATAAGATCGAAAATTGTTACACTGAAAATGTCGGATTCACAGGTATTTTATTCTGTAAAAGGTAAAGCTATCTCTTTAACAGGCCGTGAAGGCTCAAATGGTTTTGAGACGTCGAGGCTTACACATTTTCTAGGCAATCGGCTCACAGATGGCGGTGAGGTTGTCAGCCTTACGCACCAGCCGCACTTTACCCCTCAGGAAGATTCCCGGTACTCATTTCTGTTAGAGGGTGAGTCGACCCGAGGGCCATAGGGCGGCTGGAAGGGATATCAATTGACAAAACCATTAACTTCATCAGGATTCGAACCCGCAGCCTTCCGGCTTCTAGCACAGTGCCTCAACCAACTACGCAACCGCGTGACCCCTTTTATTCCCTAAGGCACCTTATTCAAGCCATGACACAACCTCAACATTTGAAGAAAGCAGTCTTCTGGGATTTGGCACCGTGTATATGTGGTGTTAACCGATGTTTCGGAGGAACGTATCGCCTCCATCTTCAGGGTAGAAGAAAAAATATATAAGAAATCTGCAAGCAAAGAGACCGTGAGAACCGGTAAAAGCAGTCTGCAGTCCTCCGAAACGTCGGTTAACACCACATATACACGGTGCCAAATCCCAGAAGACTGCTTTCTTCATAGTCACCGCCGTGAAAGCCTCAGATCTTACAACCTCAACATTTGTTCATCAGTACGAACCTTGAAACCGCTGATAACTAACCAGTCCTGCCGTCTACGTGTATGATCCCTGTTCATAAAGTGAATGCATAATCTGTCTCCCACGTTACTTACCTGACTTCAGTTCAAGCATTAATGCACAGGAAACCCTGCCGGCCGGCACTTTTCCTTTCGACTCATCCTTTTGAGGTTTCCAGGGCCATTCTTGAGACTGTCGTGTTCTGTGCTGTAACTCCTTTTGGAGGCACATACTGCCAGCGTGTTCGGCGGTAGATTCTTAGGGTGACCTTGAACATGGCCGTCTTTTTGTTGACTCGTCCTACTTGCCGGACCAGACACCATCTCCTGTCGCCCAGCGAGTCCTTGTCCCGTGCTTGTGTAACCGAAACCATTCCTCACCGCACATGTTTCGGCCCCGCGTATGGAGGCGACAGGCTCACCACAGGGATGCTCATAATGTCAACTTAATCAGTAAAATGTTAATTCATTTTTTATTCTTTAGTTTTCGGCGCTGTGTGTATCTAGACCACTTAGTGTCAGACAGTAAGATGATATGAAAGGACGTAAAAAGAGGAGAGTCGAGGGATGTAGCGCGGATAGAACTGAGAACTGCGCACAGAGAATATAGTCGGTGACTTGAACGGAAGGGCTGAAGGCGTGTATGGAAAATTGGTATTAAAATTTGCGTTCTTTTTGTGCTGTAATGACATTTCAGTTTCTATAGAAGACGGAGAATTTTTTGACCAGCTGAGTGACGATCGCCGTCGCAGTTAGTCTGTCAGTTATTTGGTTAGTTAGTTAGTTAATTAGCTGTGATACGCGAGTTCTGGTTTCATCACAGAAGTCGAAAATTAAGTTGTGTGCGATCTTTTACAGGAGAGTTTCCTTCTGCCAGTGCCCAGCTTCAGCGCAGGCAACATGGCGCGCCCCGTAAGTCCTCTCGCTGAAGAGGCAGAAATTGGCAGTGAAGAAGGCGACGTCGATGCTGGAGGAAGCGGCAGTGGGAGTGGAAGCGGAAGTGGGGGCGGCAGCGCTTGGAGGCGAGCAGGAACAACATCGACTTCTTCCTCGGGCCTCCGGGGGCTTCAAAGTGGGCAGCTTAAGAACACTAGCAGCCTTCTGAGGAAGTGTTATCCCTCCAGCTCAACACAGGTGCCGTTTCTGCCAGCCGGCCGCCTCGAAGACTGTCTTCCTCCCTGCTACCATGGCGCGAAGACCATGGCCAAGCTAATTAAGGTAAGCTCATAGAAGTTGTTTTGGATCTGTCGTTACTACAACCGTTCGAGACTTGGGTTGCAGCTCCCACACGTGTGTTAGACACGGCCGGTTGAGACATGCAGAATGCAGTAGCTGCCAGTGAGTGTGATAGTTTCAAGTACCCTACCTACATCGAAAGCAGTGCCACTGCATGTGTAACTCTAAGATCTAGGATCATTTTTATCGAGAAGTGTATCACACCTAAAGTTAAATTGAAATGTAGCCTGTTCCGGTCTCATGCATCAAGACTGCATCTTTGCCCTTTATCAGTAATTTTTGTTTAGGAGGCCACTCTCGAAAGCTGTTCGGAATTTGTGCCCTTGCAGGCGATCCAGTTTGCGCGTGTCCCTTGTATGTGTATATACCGCAATTAGGGCCGCGCCATAGCTCAAGCGGTTAGTCGCTGGCTTCCCGATCCCGCGTCTGGTCAAGTGGGATTTGTGGTGGACAAAGTGGCGCTGGGGCAGGTTTTCTCCGAGTACTTCTGTTTCCCCTGCCAATCTTCATCCCACCAACTGCTCCACAATCACCCTCACCTATCATCTGGGGCTGGTACAGTAGGCCAGAAGTGGCCGCAGTACAAGGGACTCAGCCCACCCCACTAGCAATAAAAATACCGCAATTGTTGATTGTTTGAAAGACCGACCATATGCTAATTAACGTACTGTACCACTGTTTCTTCACACTTCTTGCCAGTTGAAACATACTTGCTCGTCTCAAATCTGCGCTGTCCGTACGCGGGCTGATGGTGAGCGCTCTGAAGTCGTTGCCTGGATATTGGAATGCATTCCGTCTTGAATTGGTTTCGAATGTAGGGACTAATCTGCAGTGTAAATGTGGCACAAGTCTAAACCTAACCTGAGTCTCGCTCTTGCAGAAAGTGAGGCGCGTGGAAGTAGGAGGGCAAGGCATCACATTGCATTGTCGCCCCAATGCTTAGGCGGTCAAAGGAAGTCGTGGCATTACCCAAATCATAAGTCAGGATAGGCAGTCTTGTGGCAGAGATTTGAACCATGGACCTTTTGGATATATGGTTACGTAGGTACAAGTGGGTATCGGACATGCGAGAACCCTGAACCAGGAATCTACAGTTGCACTGCAGTTTGGTGTAGTCTATATAAATTAAGCCGACGTTTCGGAGCAACATACCGCTTCCGTTTTCACGGTCGAAGAATGAACCAAGCAAGAAACAAGTATGAAGTAGACAGCATGTAGATCGTAAATAACTAAATATACCGGCAGTTGCAAATACAGGGGCCCTTAAAACCGGCCCTATAAAGTAAAGGGCTGTAACGCTTCTCATGAAGTTTCAGTAGTCTCTGAATACCATCTTAGTAAGTAAAGCTGCATAAGCGGTATCTTCATGAAAACAACGGTACGTGAATGGGGGGAGGGGGTCAAGAACAAAACGTCGATTTTTTCGAAACCTGCTTTACCGGTCGAAATGATTTCTTTGTTGTTCGATGTTTAGCAAACAACAGCGAGGGATTCGTTATCCAGATGGAGTTAAATATGTGAACTGTTGTAAACGAGTGTACTTGTGATACATCAAATAGATCCAGTCATGAAATCTAGAACCCAGAATTATTAGTCACGTTACCCCGGATACACGTGACAGTATTTTGAAACGTGTAACATACACAGCTTTAAATCGAGGGTTACTGTAGAATTAGTTTTACAAAACGCAGAAGAACTGCAGTAAAGGAAACCTGCCCGTCCTTTACAATAAAACACTCCACATGCAGAACCTAACCATACAAATTTCAAATTTTGGGTTTGAACATTTTATCCAATCATACCCATAAATGAACTTAAGAGTTTCCACCATATGTAACTGAAAGCATAGGATCTCTGTTTCTAAAAGCAACTACCCCCTCCCCCTCTCTTGTGCTTGCGTGTAATCCTCAACGTGTGTGCTCAGTTACATGTCCCCGTCCCATCCGCCATAATTTCCTGTAGACTAAGCTTATTACATCCATATACTATTCATATGGGAGGAGCTGAGCTTTCGCTGTATTCACATAACGCCAGCTTCGCAAAAGCAGGTGTTCAAGTGGAAAACAGGGATGCCTCATTGGAACATCACATTACATGATAAACCTTTGTGCCTGTCTCTTTGGTCTGACAAGGGTCAGGTGAAGAGGTGATCCGCAAAGCGTCGAGGTTGCGAATTTAGAACGCCTGGTTGAACCTGGAGCAAAATATCCCACAAGCTTGGGCGACCCGTAGTAATATGCACATGTGCTGAAAGTGGGTGCATAGCCAGTGCGCGTACTGACCTTGCAAACGAAACCGATATTTTTCTGTATCTTCCAGTTAGCATATGAAGAATTCCCGTTGCATTGTCCCAGCGCAAGATTCGTGTCCGCTAATTCAGTAAACGGACAGACGCTTTCCAATACTGGCTGGGTCTAGTAGATTGTTTCAGAGAGAATGAAACTTAATACGAATTAGTGTTCATTTGTCTATATTAGTGCTACGTAGATATTTGTAGTAAGACTGGTATATAGGCCGCGCCATAGCCCAAGCGGTTAGTCGCTGGCTTCCTGATCCCGGGTCTGGTCAAGTGGGATTTGTGGTGGGAAAAGTGGCGCTGTGGAAGGTTTTCTCCGTGTACTTCGGTTTCCCCTGCCAGTCTTCATTCCACCAATTGCTCCACAGTCACCCTCACCTATCCTCTGGGGCTGGTACAATAGGCCAGAAGTGGCCGCAGTACAAGGGACTTAGCCCCACCCACTGGCAATAACAAGAACCGGCAGATAATGTAAACCTGACCACAGTGTTCGGCGTCAACTCGTCCTCTGCGTTCGCGTCACACAAACAAATTGCTTTCGGCAGAAACGCCAGGATCTCATACTGTATAATGGTCGGAATTTTTTAAGGGAAATCATCAAAGGGCGCTTTCATATGAACATATTTTAATTTATTTTTGATATCCCGAAATTATCCTATACGGCGTATAATGACGCATTCTGCATATATAGTCTAAATAGTCAGAGATTCGTAACGGAAGATACCGCGGACGTTTCAAGTTCTTATTGAATCCCCGTCAAGATGGGTCCACTCCCTCAAGATGTGTTCCTCGTTCTGAAGTGCTGAAACACATCGTTATAAGGGAGCAGCATGTCACATGCGCTGAGGCTACAGACGCAGGATGTCAGTGCGCCTTCTTTCATCTCTTTGGGGATCTTGTTTCCTTCTATGAGCGAAAATACAGTAGTTGCTGAGGAAGATACTGTCACGTGTATGCGTGACTATAGACGGGGTTTAGATTGAGGATTGGATTTATTGACCACTTATATATATAACTCGTGACTGCACTTCACGGATCAGTGTCACACACAGACTAGTGTCCTCAGTCTGCTACAGTCTCCACTAGCCATTGTCTGACAACGGCTTCCAACGGCAGACATAACTATCTATTCCCGTGCCTGAGCTACCAGCTTCTAACAGCAACGGCGCACAGGCTGGCAGTCAGCTTGCACCAACTTTCTGGCTTTCTCTTCACAGGTTGTCATACAAGTGACACACTTCAGGTCAGGTCATGTTACAACTGACGGTCAGTCAGTCTGTCGGTCTTGGTGTCGAGCCCCAGCTGGGGCTCATGACCAGATATTTCTTTTCAATGAAAGTTACCGTCCTGTCCATGTGTAGCGCCCTCTCTGACGAGAGGTCGGGTCTGTCATCTGTCAGTCAGTCTGTATTAAGTCTATTGTCTGTATTTACATACATTTACAAATACACACTTAATCCTTACTTCTGTGTACAATATATACACAGCCTCTGTCAGTCCAGGCTAGGTACAGC